CTTCCAACCCTGATATTCTATGATTCTATGACCCCCTCCCCCAAAAAAGTGGTATTTCCCCTCAGAGTTACATGGTGGTGAAAGCCAGGACAGGCATTATTCGGTCTTTGACTGGTAACAAATTTAAGGGTAGACATCTTGTGATCCAACAGAGCTAGAAACCAGAATCTCAATAGTGTTAAATCATGAGTAACTCCAATAACTTCAATCGATGTGCTCCAGATTTACACCTACCTTGGCAATAAACATGGAAGGTACCTGAGCAACTACAAAGCTTATGCAGCGTGAGTAGGAGCAGAATTTGAGCTAGGAGCTTTATTCCACTAGGGGGTGGAGGTGGGGAAAGATTTCCCTGCTTCCCAAAAAGTTCATCACTTGATTCAAGCCTGATAGGTCCCACATTGTCAGACCTTAAAATTATGGCATTAGAATTGAACTTCTCTATCGCTCAAAGACCAGTCTGAACTAAGGGTAGTTTTGGAGAGCTTGAGGCTGGGGTAGACCACAGCAATGTCCTGCTTTGTCCCGAATGATAGTGCCATCCATAGCTACGAAATGGCTCAGAATACATTGAACCTGCTACATTACCAGCTAAAGCACCTCTCCTGGACATCAACTAGTAGAGGCATTTTACTGGATTAGAAGGTTGAAGGTTCAAGGTTCACATCTCTGGGTAGCTGGGAGGAGAGAGAGAGAAAAATAAGGGAAAGAAGAGAGATTTAGCTAGTACAGGTACTTGCCACCCCATCCCCACCATTGCCAGAGTAACTGGCAGCAAGTGACCTACCTTGTATCTAGCATAGAAAGGAGGATAGGATAAGAATTCAGAAGTTTAGTTTAAGTTGATGTAATTTCCATGCTCCTTTGGCAACATCCTACTATTAATCGAAGTCAAACTACCCACTGAAGTCAGTGGGAAGTATCAAAACAAAACCCCACAACCCTCCTATCAAATAATGATGATAGTATAGTGTATAAATACATATAGTAACAAACTCCCAATGATTTACCAACATGCAACTTATGTACGACCTCCAAATGGCCCAGAGGCTAGCAGAGAAGCCAGAAAAGAGATTGCACCTAAAGCAGTTATAGATGCTAAGACCGTAAAAATGTATACTTCCAAACAACCCACTTCCCACTCCTCCTCATGCTAACATTCACCTGCTTCTGACACCTCAATGTAAAAAAGGTATACCAACTTAAGTCTTCAAACTACGTTAAACATTACCTCCCACTGATCCACTGTGTGGCTTGGGGCAAGTTCGTATACCTTTCTACCTTAGCTTCCACTCTGTAAAATGGAGCTAATACCATATCTACCTCACAGGGACGTTTGAGAGGATCTAGTACCCATATAGCTTTTGAACAGGCAGAGTGCTATTTAAGGGCAGTTGTTACATGATCCTGAATCTTGGGAGGATCACAGCCACAGCCAAATGAATGGATTAGAGTGGTTTTCAACCTATGGTACATGGACTCTTGGGGGTCCGAAGACTATGTCTAAGGAGCCTGCGAAAGGTTGTCATTACCACAGAACAGTGGTTTTCAACCAGGAATCTCCAGACTATGTTTAAGATTGCCAAAGGGTCCACACCTCCATTCAAAATGGGTTCCACAAATGAAAAAAGGTTGAAACCACTGGATTAGAGCTTCAAAAAACACATCCACTGCTTAGGTTTCTCTGGTGTTGTAGAGGTCACAGACCCATAGACAGATGCCTAGCATGCCCCAATCCAGGTTTTAGGGATCTGTTTCCAAACAGAACTCCTTAACAGATTGCTATTTAGACTCCACTATTTTCAGAGGACTGAGCTGTCAAGAGAGGAATTTCTCTATCCTCCCACCCTCCCCACTCCCAAAGGAGTCAGTTGTGGGTCCTTGCAAAAACCTGAAGAGGACGCATTCACAGACAGATAGATTGTGGGTTGGGGGGAATGTTATAAGACCCAACCTGAAGAGGATGCATTCACAGACAGATAGATTGTGGGTTGGGGGGAATGTTATAACACCCAGCCCTCCAAAGAAGTCACATTCAGTATTGCCAGCCCCAAGTGTTCAAAAATCATAAGTCAGTACACACACTCAGCTCACACATACATCCAATAAATCATGAGATAAGCCACACACACACACACACACACACCACATGTTTTTTCAAGTCTAATAGAGTTCTTTATTTCTTTTCCAGCTTGTGAAACTTTAGGAGTTCCCATTTTCAAGCTTCTCACCCGCACCCTAGACTTTCATTAAAAAAAAAAAAAAAAAAAAAAAAAACCCCTAACAGATTCTGGTGTATTCACATTACTCCAGAGCTCAGAACTTGAAGAAAAACATTAAACATCATAACATGAGACTTACAATGAAGTCCCCAGAAATGGCACCAGTGAAAACTGGTGCACTTTTTCCAGCATCATTAGCAGATGCTACACTTGTCCAGTGTTCTAAAATCCTCTGGTAATGACTCCCATAAATTACCCATTGGAATGTTGTACAGCTCCTTTAGGTGACACATGCTGTAGCAGGCACATCTGGATGTCTCATTTGCTCCCAGGGGCTGCAATGTTTGACCTAATAAGGCAGTTGTCCAGGTGAAAATAAATCCAAAGAGCTAGATGACACAGATACACAGTCAAACTTGGGTGCCTGCAGTTAAGTACCAAAATCCATATTTAGGCAGCAGAATAAGCAGCCTTCTTTTCAGACATGCCAACCACCTGGAACTCCCGTTGACATTAGGGATCCAGCTGTGAAAATGTTGGCTATTCGTCTGGTACTGAGAGCACATTCAGGTTTGCCATACAAAAATGAAACCATCAGACTATTCTGTTCAACTCACTGAGCTTTAAAGTGGGGTCAGAGCTGAATCCTTGCTGTTCTAGAGATATTGGTTGCATCACCAGCACTGTAAGGAAGAGTATAAACTTAATAGGTTCCCAAAAAATGACTGAGCTGAAAGTATTGTTCTATGTTAAGAGGCAGTACTTGCTGCAAACAAACATATTATTCCAGCATTCACTCACCACCTAGCATTGTAATCATTTGAATTATGAAGCAATTTCAGAAACCTAGACTCAAACAGTGTTTTTGAGCTGGTTCTCAAGGAAGGCAAGCCAATATAAATAATTCCTCCTAAATGCAAGTTCCTCCTCCCCTACTTTATAAAACGTCTATTTCATAAGAGCAACAAGAGACATTCCAGGTACCGCAATTTGGAGGAAACTGCACTTCTTGAATCCTTAAGAGCAGTTTGCCTTCAGCCTTGTAATAATCTCCCAGAAATGCACTTGAGCGAAGGAGCACTTGCTTAAATAATGGATTCATTTTCACTAAAACAGAGAATGCTGGGGAGTGGAATTTTTTACAGTACATTTTGCAATACAGCATGGATTACACTTCCCTCATCAAATATGTCACTATTCCTGGAGATCTGCAAACTTGGTAACAGGAACTACTGGAAATAAGCAGCTCACAGTCATAGAATTCAACAAATCAAGCCTACTGTGACCATTTATGTCTTGTTGAATCAGCACTGCAGCACCCAGGGGTTGCCAAGGGCAGAGAGGCTTTTCCATATACAAAGGGAACTTGTGCGAACGCTACTTTGAAAGGTTGGCTCTGTTCTATTCATTCTCAAAGACAGTGACACTGAGAAAAGTGTGCTTTCCTTTCCATTCAGCAGTCTCTCCCTCACTTTAGCGCCATCTAACCTTAATGGCTGAGCATCAGCTGCTGAAAGGGAACTAGATAGGAGTTCCAGTGTCTTCATGTAAACCTGGGGGGGGGAAATCTATGCAGCTGCAAATTAAAAACACAAGAACTTGGTAACAAGCTACAGCATATTGATACTGAAAGGGGGTAAGAGTGCATTATGAAAATCTGTAACCATAAATTATCTACTTGGCAAATGGATAAGCTGAGGCTGCATCTTCCCAAGTATTTGTTAACCATTAGCAATGATTCACCAGTCAGCACTATTTAGAGGAACTTCATCAATTATCTTTATTCATTGATGTTTTAAGTTACCAAACCAGAAATCCAACATATAAATGATTAGCCTCATTTGTGTACAATTGTTTCTGTAGTTGATAATAACTAGGTAGGACAAAATACCAGGTTGGTAGTGACGGTAACAATCAGTGTTCTATGACAGCTGTGCAGCTGAGGTGCTTGCATTATTTTTTTTTAAAAAAGTGAAAGCAGCTGCAGAAAGACACAAACAGAGCATTAGAGTAGTCTGAGGCTAGTTTACCAAAGAAACACACTGCTAGGCAATTCTTAAGGAAACAAAAAAACAAGCAAACCCATTGCCAACAATTGCTATTATTATAAAGCACATTCCTTAGATCCACTGTAATCTCACAAAAAAATTACAAATAGCTACTCATACAATCAGAGTCAATTTTCTACACACCCTTAATGTGTTTCTAATGTATAGGGCTGAAATTCTATATGTAATTTTTAGAGTTACAATACAGCACTTTACAATGATTTTAATGATGGCAACAACTGCACAGTAAGCATTTCATTTTCATAAACCCTCACAAAAAAGCAAGCCTCTGAACTCAGAAGTTGTAGAAACAACCCCTGTAGCTTCAGATTAAAGTTTTATACTGTTTCTGTCTCAGGTTGACATGCACAGAAAATTCAAGTACAAGAAATATCTGCTTTTTAAAAATGAAACTAAAAACAACTTTTTTCCTCTTCTATTCTGAATTCCGCCTCTGCAAACTCGCATGTCATATCTCAGTTACAAGGACAGAGTGAAAAAAGGTTTCTGCCTGGTTAAACATGACCCTTGATTCACAAGCACATGTTCATTTATTGTTTGAAATTAAGGGCATGATCCTGTGAGATGTTGAGCAGTGCACACAATCAAGCCCCAAGTTAGCTCAAGTCAAATATCTTTGGGGGTGGGGAGGAAAACAGAGACTTATTTTGATCTGAGTAAAAACAACCATGTTAATAGTAATACACAGTCATGCTTTGCTTTTTCCTAGATGCCCATCATTTCTAATACTTTAAGAGTTTCACAGAACGGATGGGTGAGTAAAAAACAAACATTGGTACAATGAGTCACGATTCTAATCATTAGACAATACTAAGTCAGAAGATCTGGATTCCATTTTTGACTCTACCACTGACTGTGCACCCTTGGATCAGTCACTTCACTACTCAGTACCTCAGTTATCCCTTGAGCTATAAAACTTATGACTGCTGTAGAACAAAAGGTAATGTAATTTGAGTGTCAGGTGCTTGAAGTGAAAAGCATTAAGTCTAAGCAAATCTTGCATAGGACTGAACAGGAGGCTACCAGAGCATGGAATCAAAGCTGCAGGAATATGAAGGACTCAGATGAAGTAGTGGAGAAGAATACAGGACAACTAGGGAAAAAGAAAAAGAAAAAGAAAAAAAGAGCCAACATGATGGCACCTCATTAAAATTAAGTGAAAGGAAAGGCTATTTAGTTATAAGTAGGGCTGTCAATTAATCACAGTTAGCTCACACTATTAACTCAAAAAATTGTGATTACAAACATTAATTGCAATTAATCACAGTTTTAATCACACTGTTAAACAATAGAATACGAATTAAAATTTATTAATTATTTTTGGATGTTTGTCTACATTTTCAAGCATATTGATTTCAATTACACCACAGAATACAAAAAGTGTACAGTTCTCACTTTATATTATTATTTTGATTACAAATATTTGCACTATAAAATGATAAAAGAAATCGTATTTTAATTCACCTCATACAAGTAAGTATTGTAGTGCAATCTCTTTATCATGAAAGTGCAATTTACAATTGTAGATTTTTTGTGTTACATAACTGCACTCAAAAACAAAACAAAGTCCACTCAGTCCTACTTCCTGTTCAGCCAAATCGCTAAGACAAACAAGTTTGTTTACATTTGCGGGAGATAATGCTGCCAGCTTCTTATTTACAATGTCACCTGAAATTGAGATCAGGCATTTGCATGGCACTTTTGTAGCTGGCATTGCAAAGTATTTACATGCCAGATGGGGCATACGAATGTTTAGCATATCTGACACGTAAATACCTTGCAAAGCCAGCTACAACAGTGCCATGTGAACGCCTGTTCTCACTTTCAGGTTACATTGTAAATAAGAAGCCGGCAGCATTATCTCCTGCAAATGTAAACAGACTTGTTTCTCTGAACAAGAAGCAAGACTGAGTGGACACGTAGTCTCTAAAGTTTTACATTGTTTTGTTTTTGAATGTAGTTATTTTCTGTACATAATTCTACATTTGTAAATTCAACTTTCATGATAAAGAGATTGCATTACAATTCTTGTATTAGGATAACTGAAAATACTATTTCTTTTGTTTTTTTATAATGCAAATATTTGTAATAAAAAATAAATATAAAGTGAGCACCATACACATTGTATTCTGTGTTCTAATTGAAATCAATATATTTGAAAATGTAGAAAACACCCCAAAATATTTAAATAAATGGTATTCTATTAACAGTGTGATTAATTGCACAATTAATCGCGATAAATTTATTTACTCGTGTAATTAATCATGATTAATTTTTTTAAATCGCTTGACAGCCCTAGTTATAAGATCTGATTCTCCTGCAACAGTAAGTGTCCTCAAAAAAACAAGCACGGTGCAAGAAAGTTGGCTCTCTGCACTGCTAAGTATTTGATAGTTTGTTTAACTTTCAAGTAGTTTGTTTTACAATGTCCATGTTCCTAAGTCTTAGCACACTTGTATATTCTGTCAGGGTGAAATTCCCACTAGTGCAAAGGGTCCATGAAAAGCCTTCTGTTCCACTCATGTCCTGCAATGGGGGTTGTGCATGACAGCCTCACACTCGCGACCCCTAGAATTAATCTCCAAGCCAAACCATGCAGGCCAGCACAAATAATGACAAAGGAGGTGGGCCAGAGAAAGAACTCTGGGATCTGTCATTTCATAGATCTATTTGTGTGGGATGTCTACAGCCAATGGAACACAGACACTGACATTGATATTCCAGGGCATAGGCGGGAATAGTGACTGCAAGGGAGGAGACGTGGAGAATTTGGGTTTTATGCAGGTGACGATGAAATTCACCTGTACTGATTTGGGATTTCGAGAACATGTAAACAATCCTCTTTTCAGCTCACCTTTAAGGCATGTGGAAACAATTAAAAGGAAAGCAGGCCAATAAGACTGTTGTGCCAATTTCACTCTCCTAATTAAATTAGTGGGGAGTTGCACTTGTGTAACTGAGGTAAGGATTAGGCCACAAGCAAACAAACCAAGAAAAATCAAGAGATCATGAATTGCTGTCAAGAGAGAATCCCCTCACCGCACAACCATTAAGGGACCTTGTTCCACCTGGGTTATTATAATACCACTCAGGCATGGTTTTGCATCATTCTTTTACCATGATCCCTTACTGTCATCTGAGACATGGCAGGAACTACTCCTCCGTAATTGTCCCCAACATGTAAGTTACCTACAGCCCGACTGTATGCGCAGCAAAGCACAGAACTGCATTCTAGAGACTTCACGTGACTTCATATTGGATTATATGTTCCCTGCCCTGGTAAAAGAAGAGCTCAAATATTGTGACTTCTTCCACAGGCTTAGTAGATGTTCCAGTATCTCTCATAACACCAGAGCAGTGGTTTCTATCTGCAGTCAGCAGACTATCTAAGAGGTCCGCCAAAGGTGGTTGTTACTGTAGAAGAGTGGTTTTCAACCTGTGGTCCACATAGTCCTGGGGGGTCTGCAGACTACATCTAAGATTTCCAAAGGGGTCTGCACCTCTATTTGAAATTTTTTAGGGGTCCGCAAATGAAAAAAGGTTGAAAATCACTGCACTAGAGTTCATATTTATGCTAAACCTGCTCGTTGTTAAATCTATGTTAAATATTGTTAGGTTCTGTTATGGAAATCTTGCAAGCAACTGAGAAATTAAATGTCATTTAGTAACTGTCCTTGAACCATGTCTCACTTTTAAATACAGAGAAACAATAATGAGAGAGGCAGATCAATAAATAATATGGAACATTTATATCACACTTTCCACCTATGGCTAGTACTTGCCCTCTACAAAAAGGAGATAACATTCATTAGCCCTCCTTTAAAGAAAGAAAAAAAATGAGGCCACGAATAAAAGTTAAATGTCTAAAGTGACAAAGTCAATGGCAGAGCTGGGAACAGAACTCAGCTATAACTTCCAATCCAATGCTCAAACTAGGGACGATACTACTACCCCCTCGGCAGGGGCACTCATTTGAAGACACACTGGCCTTAGCTTTTACCACAGAAGAAAAAAAATCCATTTTCTTGCATAACTTTTCCTTTAAATGCTTTGCTGTGTAGCATATGCAAACCTAGCAACAGTTTGAAATGCAAACCTTCACCCAACAGATGTTTAAAAAAATTATTCCACATTCGTATCTGGGTCAAAAGTTAAAGGGTCATTTTTAGTCTACTGATATACCAACGGTGAAAAAAAAAAGAAAAAAAAAAGCCACTGAGTGACTTTCAAGAGGAAGGGGTTAGCAGTCAGTAGAGAAGGGCGGGATGGAGTAGGTCGAACTACATCCATTAGTAGTGACAACTAAAAACAGAAATAAAGAGCTGACAAAAGCTAATGGGTCTGCACTGATTTTTCTTCCCATAGTCATTTAATATAGGGTCTTTCTTGCTCAATATTTAGTATTGTTTCACCTGACTTGAAATGGGATTAGCAACCAAGTGCTTTGATATATGGTTTGAAAGGTTGCCCTGCTTTGCAGTTTTCCAACTCCCTCTGTATTCTTTTTAGAAACACACTTTTGTAAACTCCATAAGCAACATTCAGCAGATTAACTGAGCTTTGCCACTCACAAGAGTAATATACTAAACAGGAGCCATTTCTCCAGTAAAAGAAACACCTCAAAATGTCCTACCTCAAGATACAAGTGTGGTCTGTGCTGATAAAAGTAGGCCCTACACATAATTTTTGGCCCAACTCTGTAGTAAATTCAAAAATATCTCTTGTTTTTCCTTTTGCCATCCCACATCAACCATATAAAATAAAATGAAAAACCTAGAAGGAAAAAAGACTTCACATCTTGCAAAAACCTCATAACCCTATTTTGTGTAAGCCTTCCTTACCCTTGCATGTCATCTCTCCCTATGGTGTGTCACATCATGCCTAGATAAGAAGTTAATCAGGACTAGGTTGGAGATTTTCAAAGACACAAAGGGCAGGGACTTTTAATGAGTGTCAGGAGTTGACTTTGAAAATGGCCCCATAAGTCTTCTATTCTTTCTAAAGCGCCAGGTGATTATAGGGTACTAGAGAAAAGCTGAATATATTAATAAGGGGTTTGGCCATGCAAGCACTATATGATCAAGACAAAGAAGTATAGGCCTAAAAATTAGGGGATTCATTATAGCTCAAGAGAAGGTATGCTGCTTAAACAACAGTAGCTGGAGGTATCACATCTGTGGCAGTCAGGAATAATGACTCCAGGTGCTCATCTCCGAAGAGCATAGCTTTTGCTTCCAAAATACAACCCTCCAACTGAAAGCCAGAGACCATGGCATGCCCCCATCCCAGATGATGATCACCACTAGCAGTGCAAATGTGCCCCTTTCCACTGAGGGAGCACTGACACCCCATCTTATGGATACTCCTATATAGGATCACTGACATAAGGGTGGCTCACTGCCTTCTGCATGGAATCGCTGAGGGAGAGATCACTGTGACCTCTCATGCCCTCCTCCACCACCTCTATGCCAGATGGCCAAAACGGCAATGCAGTTTAGGAGAGCAGTTCACTTACCAAGTGGTTTTTAATTCTTCCCTATAAAAAACAAAACTTGTTATAGCCAGACCTGTTTCAGAAATCTACAAACAATGACATAGGAAGCGTAGACAGACTTAGGGCTGGTCTACACTTAGAATGCTGCATTGGCCACAGCTGCACCACTGTAGCACTGAAGTGAAGACACTCCTACGCCAATGGGAGAGCTTCTCCATTTGGCGTAGTCAACCCACCTCTGTGAGAGGCCATAGTTATGT